TCAGGGATCGGTGTTGGGACCGCAATTATTTACAATTTATATAGATGATTTGGAGTTGGGGACCACTTGTAGGGTGTCAAAGTTTGCAGATGACACGAAGATGAGTGGCAGAGCAAAGTGTGCAGAGGACTGTGAAACTTTGCAGAGGAACATAGATACATTGAGTGAGTGGGCAAAGGTCTGGCAGATGGAATACAATGTAAATAAATGTGAAGTGATACATTTTGGTAGGAGTAATAGTAAAAAGGATTATTACCTGAATGGTAAAAAGTTGCAGCATGCTGCTATGCAGAGGGACCTGGGTGTCCTTGTATCTGAATCACAGAAGGTAGGTCTGCAGGTACAACAAGTAATTAGGAAGGCAAATGGAATTTTGTCCTTCATTGCTAAAGGGATTGAAATAAAAAGCAGAGAGGTTATGTTGCAGCTGTACAAGGTGCTGGTGAGGCCACACCTGGAGTATTGAGTGCAGTTTTGGTCTCCTTACTTGAGAAAGGATGTACTGGCACTGGAGGGGGTGCAAAGGAGGTTCACTAGGTTGATTCTGGAGTTGAGGGGGTTGTCTTATGAGGAGAGACTGAGTAGATTGGGATTATATTCATTGGAATTCAGAAGATTGAGGGGGGATCTTATAGAAACATATAAAATTATGAATGGAATAGATAAGATAGAAGTAGAGAGGATGTTTCCACTGGCAGGTGAAGCTAGAACAAGAGGGCATAGCCTCAAGATTAGAGGGAGCAGATTTTGGACTGAATTGAGAAGGAACTTCTTCACCCAGAGGGTTGTTAATCTATGGAATTCCTTGCCCAGTGGAGTAGTTGACGCTACTTCAGTAAACGTTTTTAAAAACAAGGTAGACATTTTTTTGAACAATAAAGGAATTAAGGGATACAGTGAGAACATGGGTAAGTGGATCTGAGTCCACGAAAAGATCAGCCATGATCTTATTGAATGGCGGAGCAGGCTCGAAGGGCCGGATGGCCTACTCCTGCTCCTAGCTCTTATGTTCTTGTTCCCTACTTTTATACACTTATTCTTTTAGCAATAAATGCCAATATTCCATTTGCCTAAATTATTAACTGCTATACCATGTACCTGCATACTAGTTTTTTTGTGATTCATGCATGAGAACACCCAGATGCCTCTGCACTGAAGCTTTGATCATTTATATGGAATAGAATAGAATCCCTACAGTGTGGAAACAGGCCCTTCAGCCCAACAAGTCCACACCGACCCTCAGAGCATCCCACCCAGAACCCATCCCCTTAATCTACTCATCCCTGGACACTTTGGGCAATTTCGCATGGCCAATCCACCTAGCCTGCACATCTTCAGACTGTGAGAGAAAACCGGAGCACCTGGAGGAAACCCACGCAGACATAGGAAGAATGTGCAAACTCCACACAGACAGTCGCCCGAGGGTAGAATCAAACCTGGGTCCCTGGCGCTGTGAGGCAGCACTGCTAACCACTGATACACCGTGCCACCCATATAATAATTTGATTTTCTATTCCTCCAACCAGAAACTTCACAATTACCCATGTCAAACTTCATCTGCCAAATTTTAGTCCATTCATCTCACCTATCCATATCCATTCATAATTTTTTTATTTCTTCATTGCAACTTACTTTACCACCTATTTTAGTGCTAGGCTTCTTAAGCTAGCAAAACATAACTTCTCTCTATTTGCATCTTGCACTTTTCCTTTAATATCTTGAAAACCTGTTTGTTCTGATACTGCACTATTCATGATTCTTCAGTCTGGTTTGAGTAAGAAGATATACAGTCGGTCTGTTCGCACGATTCTTTTCGAGAGTCCTGTGCTGTTTTAGCTCTAATTTGTATTGAATTTCATAAAATGTAAGTGCATGGCTGTCACCCACTGGTGACCATTAAGCGCAAAAGTCTGCTTGAGTTTTAGGCCATGTTATAAAGTACAGCAATCTTGCTGTCACTGTGATGGTACCACATAACCACCACCCTCTTCGCTGCAGTTTGTGGTGTCTGTTTTGACTAGATAGCTGTACACTTGGGCCAACTTGTAGTTGCATAATAATACTTACATAACGCATCCACAGCAGACAAGCGGGTAGATTGCATTTAGATGAACAATTTCATTCATAAAGCTAATGCATTCTAAGGTTACAAGCTATAAAGTGCAGAAGTTCCAAGGGCAGTGTAACTCAACCTGTCTGAATTTGAAACCTGACCTACAAATAAGTTAAAGTAATCTTTAAAGCCAGATCAGTTTATCATTTGTCATTTGAAGAATACAGATCATACACCACGCACTTGAATATTCCCATTGAATTCAGTACATAATATAATTGTATTGTACATAATGTTAAACAACAGTTAATATGTATTATAGTATAACTATTACACATAATAAGATAACAGTTATGAAGATCATTCCATGGGAAGGTCTTAAATATAGTCAGTGTCTTATGAACATGCACACCACAATCCATAGCTCCCACACACATAATTGAAATAACAAATAATTTGACAGTTTTAAGTCTCAGAGAATGTGTTGAATTAGGACACTTGCAATGACATAGAACATAGAACATAGAACATAGAACATTACAGCGCAGTACAGGCCCTTCGGCCCTCGATGTTGCGCCGAACTGTGAAACCAATCTGAAGCCCATCTAACCTAAACTATTCCATTATCATCCATATGTTTATCCAATGACCATTTAAATGCCCTTAAAGTGGGCGAGTCTACTATTTTTGCAGGCAGGGCATTCCACACCCTTACTACTCTCTGAGTAAAGAACCTACCTCTGACATCTGTCCTATATCTATCACCCCTCAATTTAAAGCTATGTCCCCTCGTGCTAGCCATCACCATCCGAGGAAAAAGGCTCCCACTGTCCACCCTATCTAATCCTCTGATCATCTTGACTGAATTCCAATACAGGTTGAGGATTCAGGACTTACTCAACTTCACAGAAGCTAGATTGTAATGTGATGGTGCGAGCATAAATATGAAATTGAATGTTTTTTGGGTCTCATTTCCTCCCTCACTCTGCTCCAATTCCATCAGCTTTGCTATTTTGTCTTTCTGCCAGTCAGATCTTGTCATGATCATTCTGGACCAATATATTGACAACAAGAAAACATCTCACCAGAAACTTTACACCTTGTCTCCAATTCAATCTCCCTGCCGAGCTAACTGCTTAGTCCTAATCAGGTAGTATGGAATGTCCACATTGTGTTCAATCCTTAACTGAAGTTTATTCTCATTTCCTAAAAACCAAGATTCCCATTATCCATCTCATCAAATCTCCAAATTCTTTCTTGACCCTATCAACACTGAAGGTAATTTCTACAAATTTGTTGTTTCCTGGCCGTATTACTCTAATATGGCACTTTACAGTTTCCACTCCATCTTATGTATTTCCATCTCATCCGAAACACCACATCTTCCTTCCTATCCTGTACTAAGTCCTACACATCAATTAGGCTCACTCCTAACCGCCATCCATTGGTTCCCCAGCACACGTCTCAATACATTGATTTGCAAATCCTGATCCTTGTGAACATCCCATTTCATGAAAAAATAAATTAGAAAAAGAAATCTTTGTCATCTTATCCCACTTACTTCAGTAATATCCTCCAATACCGAGTCTCAGTTTGTTCGCACAGTCTGCATTTTCAAAAGACGTCACAATACTTACTTCTTTGACCGCAACAGCAATCATTTCCTGTATTGTCCTTTCTGTTCATTGTTCAACTTCTGTTCTACATGGGGACATTTCTCTATATTAAAGGATGGCATTAGTGTGAGTTATCATTATAAGCAAATTAACAAATTGAGGCAACTTTAACTTTGGTTGGCATTGGTCTTTGGCGGGCAAGAGGGCACAAAGCAGATGATGTGCCGAGTAGAAGAGAATGAGGTGGAGCCTCATTCAGTTTAATATTGGACATCTGTCTCCCACCCAAAGTTAGAGGGATGGCATAAAGGTTGGTGGACAAGATGGGAGTTGAGGTGAGAGCTGGAGACTGCCAGATTCAAGCTTATGGTCTCCAGCATAGTGAAATGGTGGAAGTGAGGGTGAGAAGAATTACATGGTCAATGCCATTTGGATGAAGGACAAAAAATGTCATGTGGGTCTCATAAATTCATTACGAGGGGCCAGCGGATCATTCCAGTTCTTGCTGGCCCCCATTGGAATCCTTTCAAAAGTGTAAACTTATCATGGTCTCTTTTGTCTACACTGCGGGATCCTTCCTCCCTAGTTGAGTGCAAATTACACGGCAGCACCATTCATGTCTTTGGGCCATGACTTGCCTCAAGTGACAGTCACTGAAGGTAACATCATACTGGGCAGGTACAGAGCAGCCTCTTGTTAGTAAGTCAGCTCACCCAGTTTTAATCTTTCACGCTAATTCCCATCAAGAAGGGGGAGTTAAAATCATTCCCAATGTGACAGGAAGGTAAATTATTGAGATAGGGTTCCTACAAATAAAGTGATTATGCCTTTGCCTTAAACTTATAGTATAGGAATGTAGCAGAATTTGACGAGCTGAGTAAAAGCAGTATTGAGTTAAGCAATATGGTGTAATAAAGGTACCCTAATTCAATAATAAGTCTCCACTCCCTCACAAGAGTTGGCACAGAGTTTGTTCCTAAGGTCTTACTATTATGTCTTCCAAGTATAATGTTTAGTCTGTGGTTTTCTGAATGCAGCCCAGTCATTGTCTACAGCAGTGGTGGGAGATCTCAAGTAAAGCTGAGACATTCCCCCATCTGTAAAGTGATCCCAATACATAAATTATGGAGAGACCTGAAGCCTGATGATAAGGTTTGTGCTTCTGGGCTCTTTTTACACTCTGCTTTCTCTTTAAGTCACGTGTCTCTGGCAGAGCAGTAATTTTTCATGAGAGCTGTGCAGCTATGCAGGAGAGAGCAGAGTGCAACTTGTTATATGAATGTGACACATAGGATAAAAGGTAGGAAAGAAAATTTGAAAATGACACCAACATGAAAGACAAGAAGAAAAAATCAAAGGAGCACTTAGAAGATGATGAGGAAGAAGAAGTAGTATTGGAGAAAAGGAAGAAAAAGAAAGCATCTCCAAAAGAAGAGCCTAACAAAAGGTCCAAGTCAAAAGGTTCAGTTGAAGATGATGATCATGTTGATAAACCTCGAAAGGAGAAGAATAAAGGGAAAAAATCCAAGAAGGTTTCAAATGACAGCGAAGACGAAACAAGAGAAAAGAAGAAGGAGAAACGGAAAGGAGATAAATCAAAAAGCAAAACATCTAAAAAACCATACAACTATCAAGAAATTTATGAGAGAGAACTTCTGACATACTGCACTGAATCCTCAGATGATGGAGAGGATCTGTACCACAAGAAGAAAGGTCATTATTGCACAAATGTCTTATTTATTGCCTTTCTCATTCAGATTCACTTAATTTGTCTTTTTTTTAGTTTTTGAGATATGAGACAACATCCCAATTAAATGGGGTTTAAACAAATTTAGCAGGGAGATGGGATGTGGAGTGGAAGGACAGTGGGGGATGATGCACAGACAAGTGTAGTTGAAGAATCAACTCAGCCTTGAAGGCAGTGCGACTGTAGTTAAGGCGCATGGTGCATTGCAAAGCTAGATGGCATTTATTTTAATGCAAGGAGTCTTGCAAATAAGGTAGATGAATTCAGAGTGTTGATTAACACATGGGGATGTGATGTCATTGCATCATCAAGATATGGTTGAGGGAGGGCCAGGACTGGTGGCTCAATGTTCCGGGGTATAGAATCTTTAAGTGAAACAGGGGCAGGGGATTGTGAAAGAGGAGGTGGTCTCACATTATTGAGCAAGGGAGTGAATTACTGTGGTAAGGTGAGCTGATCTTAGAAGGTTCATCAAATGGGACTATATGGGTAGGATTTAAAAACAAAATGAGGGCAATCACTTTGCTTGGTGTGTCAGGGAGATACAGAAAGATAGATATGTTGGCAAATCTAAGAGGTATAGAAATAATGGGGTATAATAGTGAGGGATTTCAGCTTCCAAATATTAGAAGGGATGAAGAGTGAAAGGCTTACATGGGGCAGCAGTCTTAAAATTTGCCCAGGACTGTATTTTAAGGCCATGAAGAGAGTCACCGGTGAAGGAGTAAAAGAAGATTTACAAGGCCTCTTTCACTGCCCATTCTCAACCCTGAGCTCACTGCCAGTCAGTGTTGTGGCCTGATTAGTAAATTACCAGGAAATGCACAGTGTCCCCTGCCATGCCTTCTGATTCTATTTCTCCTCTACTTGCCTGCCCACCTCTGGGGTGGGGTACTTAAAAAACTCGCCATATATTCTAATGCTTTGTTCTCTCTAAATAAATTTCAAATAGGATTCTTCAAACCTATGTAGGGCCTAATATTAACTCTTGCATAGGTGATTAAATTTTGATTGAATTACCGAGTCTGATCTATAGGATCTAATGCAGCATTTGCAGTGAAAGATTCTAAATATATCATTCCATGTGAATATATATTTTGACATAATATACACAATATATATCATACATCATTTATAATGAATATAGATTCTTACAGACCTACTGAGGAATGTAGAACCTGTTACGGTGCCCTCTGTCAGTGTGGATTCATCTACATGAGTTTGGATTCCAAAGCAGAATCCAAGATGAGCTTCTGACACAGCTTTCCACCATTTCTCATGAATAAAGGCTCTAATGCTGTGTTCCTTATGAATGTGGGTTGTTTATGATATTCTCCGGAAGTGGAAATTCTACTGCAGTCTTCTGTCATCATAGAATTTCTACCATGTTCCTCATGATTCTCAATTCTAATAGTACTGTACGTGAGTATGGGATTTTACATTCGAATAATGTTTCTTCTTGATTTTAATCATAAAATCACACAGTACACAAGAGGCAAAAATAGAAATTGCTGGAAAAGCTCAGCAGGTCAGGCAATATCTGTGGAGAAAAATCAGAGTTAACATTTCGGGTTGAGTGACCCTTCCTCAGAACTCAGTATAGAAGAGGCCTATTTGCATGGAATGCTATATTTAGAATCTATCACTACAAATGCCTTTGGCCTATTAAGAGTATACCACCAAAAAAGTACACTACTACCTACACTAGTCCCACTTTCCAGCACTAGATCCATAGCCTTGAATGTTATGACATTTCAAGTATTCATCCATGTACTTTTTAAAGTTTGTGAGGTTTTCTGCGTGAACTCCCCTACCAGGCCATGCATTCCAGAACCCCACCACCCTCTGTGTCAAAAAGTTTTCTCTCAAAATCTCTCTAAACTCTTGTTATTGATCCTTTGTGTAAGGGGCATAGCTACTTTGTATTCACCCTATCCATGACCCTCATAAACTTATACATCTCTAAAAGGATCCCCCCACCCTTCAATGTTCTTTGCTCCAAAGAAAACAACCTGACTGTATGCGTGTTTGACAAAATCAAATATTATAGCCCTGATATTTACAGGGAGTTTCCTGCAGAACACAGTAGCAGCAAATTGGCAAGTCCTGAGGCTTACCCAATAATCAGCCTCAAGCCTCACTTATATTGGATCAGTGTGTGTTGCACATGCACCGGGCTTTCTCAGGCAGCTCACTGCTGATGAATATTTGAATCTCACGGTAGGTATGTCCTATAAGTAGGTCAACTAATGTGTGGGACACATGCTGAGTGAGAGGGATGGAGACTGCTGTGAAAGAGAGCAGGAGAAAGAGGAGAATAAGGGGGCTAAAGGGAGAAGGAAGGGAGTGATGATTAAGATAAAGAAAATAAGGTGGGGCGACTGGTGACAGGCAGAGCCTGTGATTTTATGTGGAACTGAGGACAGCATTCTTGCTTGTGGTGAGCAGTTTTTAAAAACCTGCCTTCAAGGACCATCCCCGTAATGACACAAGATAAGCTTCTTCTCCTGAGCACAGTTGGCCAGGCCACATTCAGCACAAAGCAATTTGATCAAGGAGACCAAACAGATACAAGCCCCTCATTTGCCTTTAATGCAGGCCCTCTTTCAATGCCTATGGCAGTATGGTGGGTGTAAGCATTTCTAGCTTTTTACATTTAGAAAGAAAATATATGAACACAAGAACTAGGAGCTGAAATATGCCATTTGGCCCCTTAGATCTGTTCTGTCATTCATCTAGATCATGGCTGATCATTTACCTGCCTACCATTTTCCTGCACTACCACTATATCCTTCTATATCTTTAGAAACTAGGAGCAGAAGTAGGCCATTTACTATGGGTGGTCCAAACAGTGAATAGTCCTTTTGATGTTTAATGCACCATGATTCATGCATATTGTAAGAGTAGAAACTCCCAAATTCATCCATGTCATAGTTAGCACAGACAAAGGTAGTTGTGGTTGTTGAAGACTAATCATCTCAGTCCCACAACGTTGTTGCAGAGGTGTCTCAGAGTAGTAGCCAAGGCCTAACCATCTTGAACATTTAATTTGTGACCCGGCCTCTAAGAACAGCTCAGGAGCGAGACTGTTCATTTGCAGCTCCTCTGATACTGAAGCAGTCCATGTCCACGTCCAGGAAAAATTTAGGCTTTTTCTAATGATTGGCATTTAACATTCACACCACACAAGTTCCCCAGGCAATGACCAACTACTATAGTTGATGAGAACTTACCCATCTTCCTGTCACATTCAAGGTGCAGAGCTGGATGAACACAGCAGGCTAAGTAGCATCATAGGAGCAGAAAGGCTGACGTTTCGGGCCTAGACCCTTCATCAGAAAATGTATCCACTAATAGGAGACACTAGGACCAACAGTAATTGGTTAAATGCTGTCTTTTGAAGGTAGTTGCTCTTGTCTCTTTGGGATTGAGAATTTCTGTCTATGTGATGGTTCTGTTGAGGTTTGGAGTTTGTCATTGACAAGTACATACCCTGGATGACACTGCAAATGATACTTTCTTTTACTTTACTGATGATTGATGATTGGTGATAGGGCAGTAATTAACCTGTATTTGTTCATACAGCATTTAATGCAGTAAGACTTTGCTATGATCCATTGGTTATCAGATGATCAGATGGATCAGCTCCATTTATATTCATCTGCTTTTGATCCTAGCATTCAAGGAATGCTGTATACTAGCTTCACAAAGCTCATTCTAAGCTTGTTCTTGTATCTGGTGTCTTCTGACATAACAATGAAGGAGCAATGGGTTGGACTAAGGTTACAGAATGCAGTATAACATTCTGTTGCTGCTATTGGTTTTGACGTTTACTTTAGGCTGCTGCCAATAGCCTTTACTTTGTTCTATGGATGGAAGACTTCCTCTCTGTGACACAAGACTTTGCCACTACTTCTATTTGGTATATCTTGGCAGTGGGACAAGGCATACCTAGGAAAGCTGAACTTCGAATCTTGCATTCCAGAAACAACTGCGTCACATCAACACGGAGGGTCATGCATGATTAAATATGGTGTCTCGAGAATTCACTATTGACACTATCTTAATTTTCCTGCTGATCATCTGCAATTTACCACATTTATTGAATTTGAGTTCAAGATTTCTAGATTCCTCATTTAGTTGCAGAACCACACTAATTTGAGACCTTGGAAGGTCATTTATGACCTTGCTACTGGGGGAAGACAAGAAGCCCTTTTCCTCCAATTCTGTGCAGAACACTTTATACTTCTGGGATGTTGTACGTCCAGAGCTTCCATATAAAAATAACTTCCTTGGTAACTAATCCTGATCCTTGCAGGGTAAATGTGCTTTCCCCTTTTATAAAGCCACCTGCACCATCTGCTAGTCTCAGTAAGTAAGAACACTGCAGCATCCATAATTTCTTTAACAATGCCTTAAAATTGCTGATCACTGAAAGAAATTTCATAAACTGGGAATGCTGTTCACAATCAAGGTGACCTTCATTCGTTGGCTTTTCAATTCTAACCCTATATCCATCCAGTGGAAACCAGGCATACAGACCTTTAGGACTTACCCTACAAAGTCCCACCTGTCTTCCCATGGGTTCAATTATACCATGCTATTCCAAGCAAATGTTTACCAGAAGTCAGTGCAATGTGCAATGTCAGCTGTGCCTCAGTACTGCCCTACCATCTGAGTCTGATGTTGTGGTTTCCAAGTTCAACTCTAGATGCTTGAGTACAAGAATTTAGTCTGCCTCTTTAGTGCTGCATGTCTTTCTGTTTAGCTGTTGAATTACATTATAACAGTGACTGCTCTTTATAATCATTGATTGTAAAGCCTTTGTGACATCCTCAGGTTGTACAAGGTGCTATATAAATGTAAGTTTTTTTTACTTTAAATGATTCCTGACATCATCAAGCCCTGACTGTAATTTTAACTAGAGCCTGCGCTGGGAATACAATGTGTTTCCTTTGCCACACCA